TCCCTCTCACGGGCTCGCTGGCCGGAGTCCAGATTGTTGGTGTGTGTTTTCTTTTGAGGAAAGGTCAGACTTTAGAGAACGGAGCCATCTGTCCAACAGATTACTCTGAGGCTTAAATAACAAGTAGTTTGCGATATATTTCAATGTGTGGAGTGGACGGTTTGTGTGTGGGAGGCCGGTCTCTAGAAATGTCTCCCACAGCACTGTCCCCATCGCTCTGGTGTTGTGATCCCCGCTGGCTGGGGCGCATCTTTGTGCTGATGTTTCCGCAGAATTAATTAGCTGGTTAGAAGCGGCGTTAGGCTGGCAGGGCTCCTGCTTCCCGCGGCCGAGTGCTGCCCGGACAGAGGCAGCGCCGGGCCCCTGTGCTCGGAGGCTGAGCCATCCGGGCTGTCTGTGCGGCTCTCTGGCTGCTGTTGTCACTGGCGTTTGGTGATTCATGTAATGGACTCTCACGACACCCCACATCTGCTAGGACCTGCCTCTGAGCTGTTCGTGACTGCCTCGCCCCGGTCCGCGGCTGGCGTCCCGTCCTGTCTGCTCAGCTCAGCGGAGTGGCAGGGGAGCGTGGAGGGCACCGGGCCTGGGACAAGGAGCGGGACGCAGCATCGAGGGCGGCATCCTGCGACCCCGGAGAGGCCTGTTGGGAAGAGAGACATTAAACAGTCACCGGGAAAACTGCTCCATCACAGCGGGGACAGGAGCCCAGGGAGAATAAGAAGTGCTGTGGGTCAGATGAGATGCTCTGGCTGATGCAGGAAGGGAGTGTCATTGACGTGGGACCCACAGACATGGAGCGGGAGCCAGACTGACCTGACGGGGGAGCTGTGAGCAGCATCCTCCGGGCAGAGGGTGCGGAGTGCACGGGGTGCGGGCGGTGCGGGGGGTGCAAGCTGCCCTGGTCGCCCTAGGAGGCGGAGGTGCATACGGAGGCCGGGCCATGGGAGCAGAGGCGGAGGTGGAGGATGGGCCAGGGGGAGCAGAAGGTCACGGAAGCAGGTCTAGACCTTGGGCTCCATCATGGAAGCGTGACGTTAAGATTATTGACTCTTAGACTCATTGCCCCCCTTCTGTATTCCCGCAACTTTGTTTCTAAAATTAAAGTAGCTTTATTGGAAAAGACAGTTCCCGTTCAGAGGAACAGGGGAAAGCAGATGCCTCGGCGCTGGCACCAGGGCAGCTCTCCTGAGCCTGGTCTCGGCGTGGATGGAGGGCTGAGGAGCTGGGCCCGCGGCCGGGCCCTGTGCGGTGTGCGGTGTGCTTCGGCTGCAGCACGCGCTCCGGGGACCTGGGGCCCGGGAAGGGCTAGCGGCTGGTCAGGAAGACGGGGAAGCCGGGGTCTGTCCCCGGCTCGCGCAAAGCCCGTGGGTTGGGAGGAAATGCCTGTGTGTCTCCCACGGGCTGATGGGTGGTTGGGTGAAGACGCTGCAGCTCCGGGTGGGCAGGGGGGTGGAGACCACCGCATGGAGACGCCAAGGACCCCCAGACTGAGGGGCGCTGGGCGAGAGGACCTCCGAGGCTCCAGGCTCTTTAAATGGGGGCGTTTGAAGAAGCAGGCCAAGCCACTGGAAAACAGAAGAGAAGGCGGTGCAGAGTCTGAGCTCGGCCTGCCTGCTTCCGATCCGCAGGACGGGGAAGCAGTGGTTCTGGGCTGAGCCCCGGGGAAGAAGCCGCTGGGCTGTCCTGCGAGGATGGGGGAGCCCAGCGGAGTCTCGGAGCAGAATGGGGTTCTTCCGTTGTTCGAGGTTGATTCCTGTCTGCAAATACTCGGATGAGCCACACCGTGTCCCGGCCCGTGTTCCTCGGGGTGTGCTCCTGGCCCTTGGTGGCCCCGGCGGCTGCGCTGGTGGGAAGGCCTCTGGGATGGCCACAGGAGCAGCAGGTTGGCAGAAACGTGCACATGGTGACTCACTGCTCAATTTGGCACAAAATTAGTCTTCCCGCGTGGCATCCGCTCAAGTGTGACTCGTCACCACTGCTCTGTGCTGCTTGTGTGCCTGGAGCCAAAGGTAGAAATTAAAGCGCTTTGCTCTGCCGCGGAGCGAGTGCCGGGTGGCAGGGCGCGCGCTGTGCCTACCTTCCCACCTGTGCCTGCCCTGCACGCGGAGCCTGCGTGGCAGCGGGCGTGGCTGGGTGTGGGCAGCGTTCAGAGCAGCCTGCAGGAGGGGTACCCGGGGCAGAGCCGCCTGGACAGCAGCCCCCGCAGAGAGAGTGCGCCGTGCCGCCAGCCTCATCCTGCCAGGCCACCAGCGGTGGTCTGCGTTCTGAAAGCCATGTCTGCTTGCAAATGAATGTTTTGATTTTTGCTGCAAGGACTCAGACATTGTTTTCCTCAGTTAAGCAGGCAGCTGACTCTCTCTCTCTCCTCTTGGCAAACACATAATGTCACCTGTGAAAAGGAGATTTGCATCTCCGTTCTGTCAGACGTGGGACTGAAAAACAGGCTCCTGGAGCTGGATTGCTGCTTCATAAGCATTTGGGTGGAGCGTGCTGAGCTGCTTCTGCGATTGCCGGTTGGGAAGAGAACAGCAGTGCCGCCCAGGCCGCTCCGTGCCCGTGGGCAGCAGATGGTTTCCCGGGAACCTTCCCTCCCGCCGCTGCCCTGCTGCCTTCCCCAGCGAGCGCTCCCGGAGACGGGCTGGAAGTGCGAGGGGCACGTGGGGTCCGTGCGGCCCGTGGCCAGGACTCCGGCCCCTCCTCACGCGTCCCGCAGTCTGCACCGAGCTCGCTTTCCGGACCTCCTCGCCCAGACAGAGACAGGCTTTCCAGAAAGTGCTGCGAGTCCCTCAAGGTGACCGCACGGGAGAGCCGCCGGGAGGCCGCCGTGAGCCGAGGTCCCGGTTCATTTGCATCCTGCTGTCGGAGCTATGATGGCTATTGATTATGATGGCTATTGATTGAGGATCGTTCAGAAAACATGCCCCTCTCCCATTAGCATATGCTTAGCAAATGACCTCCGTTCTCATAGGACAGCAGATTTTTCTTCCTGCTGAGTCTGAATTAACTGGGTTTAAACTGCGTACGTGGATTTGGAGAGAAATAGGCGAACGTGCTGTGGCCCGGTGTACCCTGCGGCCGAGTTCGCCGTGTGCCTCCATCGTGGCGGCGAGCATCGGGGTGATGGGAAGTGAGCGGACCTCCTCCTTCCCTCATGCTTTCACCTTGTGCAGCGGGAAGCTCAGAGCTGAGGCTGCACAGCAGGCAGCTGGATGTCTGGAAGGGACGATGTGGCCTGAGGTGTGGTTTCTTAGTCACTGCTTCTTAGCCTTCTTTGTATTTCTTATTGATTCCAGAGAGGAAGGGGGAAACATCGATGCCGAGAGAAGCCTGGATCGGCTGCCTCCTGCAGGCCCCACACTGGGGATCGAGCTTATACCCTGGGCCTGGGCCCTGACCGGGAATCAGGCTGTGACCTCCTGGTTCATAGGTCGATGCTCAGCCACTGAGCCACACTGGCCGGGCTGTTCCTCAGCCTTTTTGAAAGTCAACAGAATGGGCCTTCCCTCTGAGAACTGCCTCTTGTTCTTTCGTTTGCCTCTGAGTGCCATGGCCGCCTCTTCCGGTCCTCTCAGCTGTGTGGTGTGAGTCTGCAGAAGGCTTCGCCATGTGACCGTTGGTCTCCCGCCCTCTTCCCCAGCAGCCTGCGCCCATGCGCCCCTCCCCCTCTCCCCGGATCCCTGCTCTCTTCCTGCCGGGGGTCCTTACCGCCCCGCCTTCGGAGCCGCTCCCTGCTCCTGCTGTGACCGCGGTAACTGCCCTGAGGAGCACCTGCCAGTTACCAGCGGACTGCTGTCTGCCCCTGAGCTGATCGCGTTTTAAACAAATGGCGCTGTGTTGTCTGTGCTCTCAGGGGCCTGGGTTGTGGGCCGCAGCCTTTCGTGTTGTGAGCGGAGAACTAATCTTCCCCTCCCCCGAGAGCACGGCTCCCCTTGTCCCTGATCTAATGGACCGTAATTTAATTTGTTGTGTCCAACAGATACGAAACCCAATGCAGAATCCTTAATGGATAGTTTTGCATCTCTGCTGCTGTCTCAGACATCCCCTCTGCGGCAGCGGGTTGCATGGCGAGCACACACGCTGGTGGATTTCAGCTCAGAGGGTCGGAGCCGGGCCAGCTCTGTCGGGGCCGCGCTTGGCGTCTCCGTGGTGAGCCTTGGCTGGAGGGAGTTCACACACCGAGACGGGGCGTTTTTGCAGAACCGGCTACAGGGGATCAGAGGTGTCTGTATGTGCCAGGTGCCACGCCAGGCGCTTACATTGCAGTCATTTCTCTGTGATTGTAACCTTAAGAGAGAGATTCCGCTTGGGCAGAGGAACAGAGTGGAGCTGATAGAGGCCTACGCTGTGGACTGTGGGGAGTTCAGTCATGTGGAGAGTTCAGGGGTAAAATGGTAACAGGGATTTAGAAAGCTAACCAAGTGAAAGTCAGGCAGAGCAGGAAGCTGTACAACAAGTGAATAAATGTACTCACGCGCCGCTGTGTAGCTCCTGGCGGGGTGGCTCCCCGGGTTGGAGGGTCATCCATACGCCCAAGGATTGCGGGTTCACTTCCGGTCAGAGCGCATACCTAGGTTGTGGTGGATCCCCAGTCAGGGTGCATACGGGAGGCAACCAATCAATGTTTCTCACATTGGTGTTTTTCTCTCTCTCCCTCTCCCTTCCTTTCCCTCTAAAATCAATAAACATAGAGTGTAGAATGTAAACATTGAATATCTATTTTAAAGCAAAGATTGTGATATAAGTTGAATTAGCTAGTGTCCAGCCAGGAAGAAGGAAGGGTTGCGTTAGGGTTAGGGTACCTTCACCCTAACTGAAGACTGGTTGCCTGGAAGGCAAGAGGAGGAACGGGGAAGGAGTATTGCAAAGAGCCATGTTATCCCTTTAGCCTTCCTGACCAGGGATTCCGCTAATCCACGTGAGGCTGACAGAAGCCGGGAGCACTGCGGGTCTGTGTTCCCGTGACGAGGCGCTGTTCATGAAGCGTGCTTCTGTTCCCGTAGGTATGTCGATGACGTCATCAGCCGCATTGACAGGATGTTTCCTGAAATGTCCATCCAGTTATCCAGACCCAATGGAACGTCAGCGATGCTTCTGGTAAGTTCTACCTGACCGTCTGTCTGGAAGAAAGCATGGTAAAGGGTGTAAGGCCACTAACTCCAGAGCCCGTGGACCCAGGCAGATTCTGGGTTTTCCCCCACCGCCAGGGGCAGCAGAGAGCCTCAGGCGTCAGACCTGTCCGGGAGCCCTGGCCGTCCGCAGTGTCTGCCCAGGCAGCAGGGCAGGAGGAGGGGTAGACGTGGCTCCCTCTAAGGCGGTGGGGTCTAAGCTGGCCAGCCTTTCCTCGTGGGCCCAGAGGGATCAGGGCACCGGAGCCCCTCAGAAATGGGGGGCGGCCCTCCCCTGTGTCTGACCCGGAGACACGCTCCGCCTCCTCTTCCCGTGCATGGATCGCAGGTGCACGCAGGCGACGGGCAGGAGCGGGAGGGGCGGACACACAGGCGCTCGGTAAATATTTGCTGGGTGAACACACGAGTGACAGGTCACAGCATCTTTCTCTCCCGTGTGTCCACGGGGGCTGCAGTGGGGACCGCTGCGGGGGAGGGAAGGAACAAGGCATCCACACTAGTTCCATCCCAGAACTGTCCCTAAGCCTAACCCAACCCCAACCCCAGCCCCAGCCCTCCCTTCTTCCTGGCTGGACACTAGCTCATTCAAGTGACATCACTTCCGCCGGCGTCTCTGTGAGTCGGAGGTCATGGCCACCGCTGGGTGCTCCCTTCCCCGGATGATACACCTGCAGTTTCAGCCTCTGTTGTGGCTGCTCTCGCTGCCCTGCGGGGGGCTCTTTGATGTTACTATCCTGATGGAATAAATCCTATTTCCGTTCTTTGAGGAGATGAGCTCAGTCATCCAAAATAAATCTCGCTGTGTTGATATTTAGTTTCGGTTCATCTAACGCCTAACATCCCATTATTAATTTCCTTCCAGCAGTCAAAACACGGTAAGCGCTTAATCGAGTCAGAGACTAGAGCACGCAGCTGGCTTCTTTCGGCATTTAAAATACTCATGTACTGCCGGCCAGTGTGGCTCGGTGGTGAGTGTCGACCTATGAACCAGGAAGTCATGGTTTGATTCCCTGTCAGGACACATGCCCGGGTTGCAGGCTCAATCCCCCATGTGGGCGTGCAGGAGGTAGCCGATCCATGATTGATGTTTATCTCTCTCTCCCTCTCCCTTCTCCTCTCTGAAATATATAAAATATATTTTTAAAATATATTAAAAATTGTGACTGATTCACCAGGTATAAAATTGTAGGGAAAAGATGAAGCTTCAACCATGATATTTGAAAGATACCTTGATAATATGTAACTGAATCTTTATGTTACATGGTTTACTACAAATAAAACTCATTTGTCCATCTTTCTAAACATACATTTTAACTGACCTTCCATCTCTTTAACATATTCATGCCTTCTGTTGAATGACGCGTCTTTTTTAAGCCATGCGGACACATCTCAGTGCCAGGGCTGAGAAGCCGTGCTTTAGCGCATGCAAATGTGCGGCTCCCAGGAAAATGCCAGAATGTCTTCCTGGGAGGCAGTGCTAGAGCGGGACACAGACTGTGTCCGTGTGCCGAGGCCAAGGCGCAGCTCCAGCCTCCTTGGGAACGCTCCGGAGTCTAAAATTCTGTGATGCTGCTCTGGCCAGTGTGGTTCAGTGGACAGAGCATCGGCCTGTAGATGGAAGGGTCCCGGGTTCAATTCCAGTCAAGAGCATTTGCCTCGGTTGCAGGCTCCTCCCTAGCCCGAGCCCTGCCAGGGTTTCTCTCACATTGATGTTTCTTTCTGTCTTTCCCTCTCTTTTCTGCTCTCCCTAAAAATCAGTGGAAATATATCCCTGGGTAAGGATTAAAAATAATAATAAATAATAAATACCTAATTGAAAAAACAAAATTCTGTGATGCTGCAGCAACCACTTGCGGAATCTGTACCCAGATTCCCACACTTAGCCACCGCACCGATTACGATTGGAATTCTTTGTTACATGCTGGTTTGAAAGTGCCATTTTGAAAGGCTCACTAGAAAAGTCAGCTTTTATTTTTTACTTCGTTTTGACACACAAAAATTGTACATTTGGTTTCTGACATCAGACCCGTTCTTTAAGGCAGCATTTCTCAGATGGGGGTCCAGCCCGAGGGGCCGCAGACACTGTTCCGGGGGCTCCCCAAGTCAGCGCCGCTTCCAGGCGGACATGCCTTCCTCTGGCTCTCGTTCAGGTTCACTGTTTCCCAGGCTGCCTACCATGCGGTGCCCTCTGCACCCTCATGCCCGTTGGCCTGCGTCTGTGTTAGACTTTTCTGTTTTGTTTCTAACGTGGCGAACATTGATAGCTTCCCCCAGAAACAAAGTGCCAGGACTACAGAGAGGCCGAAACGTTGGAACTGCTGTTCTCAGGACAGGTGTGTCCAACATACGCATATTCAGACAGGGTGTCAAACTGGACGTCACAACAATGCTTCCAAAAACGGGTGTTGAAATGGCAGAGAGATGAATGGAAGTTTATTAATGATTAAAAACATGAAGGTTTAGCCGAAGCCGGTTTGGCTCAGCGGTAGAGCGTCGGTCTGCGGACTGAAAGGTCCAGGTTCGATTCCGGTCAGGGGCATGTACATTGGTTGTGGGCACATCCCCGGTAGGGGGTGCGCAAGAGGCAGCTGGTAGATGTTTCTCTCTCATTGACGTTTCTGGCTCTCTCTCTCTCTCTCCCTTCCTCTCTGTAAAAAATCAATAAAATATATATATATTTTTTTAAAAAAGTGAAGGTTTAAAAAAGAGTAGAAGTTGAGGGATGTTGGCCGTCCGACAGGCCAACTGCCTCAGCTTCCCCGGGAGAGCGTTTCGGGGGCAGTCTGGGGCTGTGAGCGGGGCTGCTCTCGCCCGCACCCAGGGTGCTGGTGGTTGTCGGCTATGACAGCAGCCGCTGGGCTGAGGCCGAGCTCTGTCTGTGAGGGAGGAGACTGAAGTCTGAGGTTTGCTGGCACTGGCTCCTCTGAGGCACGGGAGGCTGTGCTTATCCTCAGGGGAGCGGCTGGGGGACACTGTCCCACGGCTGCCTTACGGGGTTTAGCTTGTGGGGTTCGGTTTTATGTCATGGCAGTAGGGCCTGTTTTCAGGTCCCCAGTTTCCAGACTGCCTGTCTGAACCCCTGTCCAGCTCGAGAGCTCTCTGCCCCAGCAGTCACCTCCATTCTCCTGACAGATACTAGGCATACCGGTTAATAATGCAGATTTTTTTGAATAGATGGAGTCACTGTACACATATGTTGACATATATGCGATTTGATATGTATGCTATTTTGTTGTAATGACAGCAAGCTTCAAGACTTTATATGTCAAATTTGCTGAAGGTGTTAACATCATAGATATTTTTACGTTAAAAAATGTTGAGTTTTGTGCCAAAAAAGAGCATTTGTGGGAAGTTATAGCTCATTACTTTATTTGAAAGAAAAGTGCTGCTGAGTACTTCGGGAAGCTTACGGTGAACATGCTCCATCTCAAGATACTTGTGAACGCTGGTTTAAATGCTTTAAAAGTGATGATTTCTATGTGAAAGACAAAGAACGTCCGGGTCAACCGGAAAAGTTTGAAGACCAACAATGACAAGCATTATTGGATGAAGATGCATGTCAAACTCAAAAACAATTTGCAAGAAGTTTAAACGTTGCTCAGCAACAATTTCTGATTACCACTTGTTCCAATCGATGGCACATGCACTTTCTGAGCAGCACTTCAAAACATACGAAGAAGTGGAACATTGGGTCTCTGAATGGTTTTCCTCAAAACAAGAAAAGTTCTGTTGGGACGGTATCCACCAATTACATACCTGAAAGATGGGGGAAATGTGTAGCTAGCCATGGACATTACTTTGAATAAAGCACTTATTACTCTAACTAATTTTTCTTGAAATTATTGTGTGTGTTTTTATTACAAAATCCACCATTACTAACTGGTACACCTACTGATGACATGCTGCGTGGAGGACAGCCCGCATGGTGATCTAGCAGGGAGCTGGCCACAGATGCACAAAGCGCCGGTTCGATTCCAGTCCAAGGCACATGCCCGGATTGTGAGCTCAATCCTCAATAGGGCAGGTACAGAAGGCAGCCGATCAATGTTTCACTTATCATTGATGTTTCCATCTCTCTCTTTCCCTTCCTCTCTGAACTCAATATAAACACTTTTTAAAGTAAAATAAAATATCACATACCACATGCACAGAGCCTCGATGGGCTTCTGAAGGAGTGTGTGGCCTGGCCAGTGACTCAGTAACCTCCGTTCCCACCTCGTCATGGCCTCAGCCGCCGGGGTGGACACGGAGCACTCAACAGAGAGGCTTCTCCGGGACTTCACAGTGCCCGGAGGACGAAGAGCGGTGTAAATTATCGGCGCTGATCTCGTTATTAGAAAACAACCCTATTGATCAATAGGCCCTTTGACTCCCTTGTAACTTGTCTCACTTTGTATTTGACCAAACGGGGCCATTTCTCCCAGCACCCACTGCAGTCAATACATGGAGCAGAATGCCGCTCCTCTTCCCGAGTCATAATCTTTGTTGTGAAGAGTTATTAACCGGAGCCGCTGCTGTTTGCCGTAGACACGGTTGTCTTCGGCAGATTTATGCCCAGCAATTGAATCTCATTAGCCCGGATTTACACTGCACGGACCACGCGTGTAAATAATTGAAACCTTCCGGGGCCGCACTCAATCTTCCGCTGATTTTAAAGCAGTTCATCTCTGTATTTTACTTTCTACCCCAGCCCGGTCCACACAGTTGATTCCCCCCCCCCCCCCCCCCAGTTAATCCTTCCATTGTGCCTCTGCGTTGAGATAAAACAGTTGTCGTTTTAATAAAAGTGACACACACAATCCATTTCGGTTGCCAGCTGAATTAAAAGATGAGTAGGCGTTCACACCGCCATGATCTGAGGCGTTATTAGTTATGTAAGTTATGTGATAGTGAATTTTATTAAAGTTAATTGAGATAATTGGGCTGCACGTAGATACAGGCGTGGTGGTGGGCATTACACCATGGTCA